TGATTGAGATACCACACCCATCCACCAACAGCGTGAAAGTTTCTTTTGTATCACAACAAAATGGTCAGGCCGCGTTCATGGTTTACGACAGGGCACCTCCTGATGCATGGGGGATTCCCGCAAAGTACGACCCCCTCCCTTCCCACGAATTTCTTCTTTGGTACGACCCCCTTCCCACCCCCATCCTACCTACACCCTTCCTCAACTTCCCCAGCTTCCTACCTTTTTTTCCGTAGTTCAAAATTCCTACGCTTCTTACCCCTCCCCAAAAATAAAAAAACTGCCGACGGTGTATGGCTATATAGCGCACTCGGAAAAGGGAAAACAGAAAAAAACAACGAAAAACTGTGGTTCAGAGACCAATACGACCTCCTCACTCCAGCGACCGACTTACGATCCCACTCCTTGAGGGATCCCCAACGAACGACGGTGCCCCTGTGGAGAATTCGCGACTGCGGACAGTAGGACTCGAGAAAATCGGCAGCCAAGGAAGAACAGTACAGGGCACATTGTTAGTTGGGGAATTTGGTCGAATCCGGACGACCATCCCCCCCCCCCCCTTTTTTTCAGGGGTACGACCTCCCTGGTTTCCTCTTCATCGAGCTGTCGACGGCGAGGGGAAGCTTATATGAAACGGGAAAAATCCGAGAAAAATACGACTCCTCTTGTCTTTTGCCCATCGTATCTACCATTTCGTAGATTCTCCCCAACTTTCCTAACACTTTCTTACAAAATTTCGAAAATTTCCTAGTCTCACCAGGAAATTTCGCTGTTGGGGGGGGGGGTATAGTATATATGAAACAGGAAAAACCACGAAAAGTCAGCAACCTGTCTCTCTCAAATGGTCGGAAGCGAAAACTACCCCTCTTCCCCTTATAACGTTGAAACAAGAAAATCAACTATCAACAAAAATTTTTCTCAGCCCACGTACGCCCCCTCCCTCTCCCAGCCACTAAATACGACCTCCCCCCACTATTGGGGAAACCCCAACAACGAAGACAGATTCACTACGAAAAGGATCAAATGTGTATTGACTGAATTTCGGTGCGCTTCTTGAGCGGAGCCAATCGATACCTTTCCTTCCTCACACATTTTTCGCTTCTACAACGACACAATACTAGAACCTAAGGAACCAGAAACGATATTCATGTAGTTTTTTGGAAATGTCAGTAGATAAAAAAACCCGACACGCCTATCAACAGTGTCCTAACGAAGAATCATGTAAATGTAGAAAATCAGGAAAACGAGATGGAAAAGGGTGTAGTCTGATGGAAGGCAGTCCCATATGTAGTGGACGCGGGGTGCTCGGAGGTGATTTCGATTAGGTTGTGATGTTGCAGTTGAAATATACCTAAGTATGCCCTATGTCTATTGAAAAGGTAATCCTATGCAAGAACACAAAGTATATTTATCACTCACGGTATATAATCATGACCACAGCAACGGATTAAGCTTCACGTAATGTAATAGAAATAAATACCTGTAGTTAGTATCTGTCAAGGCAAAATGGCTCAAGAGTATGCACTTTCCATCATTATACGCCTCTGCGGCCAAGGGTATGCGCCAAAATTCGAAACGGTTTTTTCGTGCATAACTTTTTCACACCCAACCATTTTTAAGGCAGGCACGAAAAGATGGTATTCGAGCCGAAATTATAGCAGGGGCGCTATAGCCTAACCTATCCAGAAGAGAAACTGATGCACAAAAAACCATTCCAGCGAACACTTTTGACCGCAGGCGCGCTATATTCTCCTACAGTTGAGGTTAGTGGAAGTAGTGGCGATATATGTAACTTTCATAGATGACTATTTTTAAAAAGCTACGAACTCGAACAGCTGGTACAAAATATACAAAAAATTATAAGTAACAATTTAATGTTAGGGAAGCGAACCATTAAATGCAGTTATGACTCCATAACGGGGTGGTCATAGGTTCTTGGATTTTTTTTTCGTCTCATGTTCTCAGCCACCCAAAAACAATATTTTCCGCATACTCTTGATTGAAATAATATTAGTTAGGTTTTGAAAGCCAAACTAAATAAGTAGCCGAAAATCACTGCACACAATCACTACTACAAAAAAATGAAAGAACAATTAGTCCACGGCACAGCAGTCACACCACACTTACTCAGTCAATCCGATCATGCAGTGGCACCCTATGCAAATCATCTAGGATCAGACTAATACGATACTCAAACGCTTTGCGATCTTCACTGGTTGCCGAGGCGGCCGAGCTGAGCTCATCACCTCCTTGTGACATTATCGCCGCCAGTGGGGGCATGGACGGAACATTGAGTAAGTCACGGCGATTCTCACGGTTATCGATAGAAGCGCTCGATGTTGAACCATCGGAATCACAAATAAGACGTGTTACAGTTTGCGATTCAAATGACCTATTCAAAATACGAAGCGGAACGTTTCGGAACCGTGACAACGACGACGACGAGTCAGAACTATGAACAGTCGCCAGGTCGCGGGAGCTTCTAAATGGGGGTAACGACGACGACGAATCGGTACTGCTCACCCCTGGACGAGGCAACGACATATACGCTTGTTTTTCGGCGGCGACACGACCACATGCAGCTGAGTCCGATTCCTTAGCAAGACGTGAGAGATCATTGACCTGAAAAGAATAAAATGAAAAAAAACATAGACAGACTAAACTACCACATTACCCTTATCGCTAGACAGACAACCATCAAACCTGACCAGGGAAAGTCAACTGATCAGCTACATTTGCAATGCGACGCACGCCGAAATACGGGTCTTGGAGCGATGAGCTCAAATCCTTTTATAAAAACTTGTTGAACGACTCACTGGGCATGGTTATGGTTTCCCACGTTGTTGCGCTATCGCATGGAAGCGGAGAAGCGTCTTCACATACGATGGCTGTCCAAAGTACTCTCGGGGTAATTTAGCAGTGACAAAGGAATTTAACACGCTCGAGGCGACGCCGATTCGCCAAAAACCCCCGTTTGTCGAAAGACGCGTTCGCGGCGGGCGATTAGCGCGTAAACCCCCGGTGCCCATTTCGGGGGAACCTTCCCTCTGACGGTTTTCCTTTTGACATTTTCTTATACATTTCTTTCTTTAGACAAGTTTTCATGCAATTACAAATTGGGTTTTTTGCACTACTGATCTTCATTAGAATTGGACGGAGAAGATTCTTACCAAAAGTTATGTACCAATTAATAATGCAAATAATATACAAGTTATACTACGAGCATTTTTCTATGTGTTTTCTTGTAAATTGTCTCCCAATTTACGAAACTTTCTCTTTTCACTTCTGGAAAGAAGTAGATTTTAATGAGGAAGCTGATTTCAATGGCGTAGTCATCCGAATGAACTTTCTCAACAAAACCGACATCTTTCAAAAGCAATAAATGTTGGCGGTAAAATTTTTGTATTATTTTGCATTATTATTATTACTAGTAGTACTGCATATATTTTCCAGTGAAAAAGGAAGAAAAATCACAAGAAAACAAGCGAAAAGGCGCATGTGGTGGCTTGGGAATATGCGATACGCCCAAAGAAAGTTTTTGCGTGTTTTTCCGAAAGTACACGTTTCTCCAAATGTGTTAATATTCTTTCTGTGTTGTTTGTATTATTATTCATTCCCGATTGTTAGTGAAAAGGGTAAAAATTACAAAAAACGAGCGAAGAAGTGCGTGTACTCCCGGGAGTACACAATTCGCCGAAACTCCTCTTCTCGAGAGTACACGAAAGAGGAGTTCTTTCGTGTACTCTCGAAAGTACACGCCGCCTCGAACTTGGTAAATCATTTGACAGGTAACGACACTCTCTGAGGGTATAAATACAAAATTTCATTTATTCATCAGTGCTATTCTAGTTATCCTTGGTGAAAGAAGACCAGAATGACTGATGCGACATTGTTGAGAAAATGATAGTTGATCCTTCTGATAAGATGTTAAAACCACCGCCAAGATATTACAAGTTTATTTGGCTAACGTTTCGGCCTTGTCGCCTTCGTCGGAGCCTGGAAAGTCAAAGGTAAGGTGACCTACCGCCGAATGCCATTTCAGACTTAAGGACAGCTCACCATGCA